GAAAGGGGTGCAGGAGAACGTGTCCCAGGAACTTCCATCCGCTGCCCAGTGCTGTCTGGGAGGGGAGTGTCGGCTCGCCCCGGTGCTGGGACCAAGCTGAGTGGAGGGCTTGTACCAGGACTTACAACAGCCCAGTGAAGCCATGACACCGGGAGGTGACATGCACACAGCACCACAGAGAGGCTTGGCACAAAGCCAATACCTGCGCCCCGCCCCCGCTGTTACTGTCATTGGGGGTGATGATGTCACCCCAAACCCTCCCACCAGAGGGGGAGAGGGCGACCCTGGGAACGCAGGGTAGACCTGGGCAGGTGAGGCGGCTTATTCACAAGGCACCTGAGAACATCCAAGAGTGTCTGGGTGCCTTCACCTCAAGCCTCACTTGCAAGTAGATCACCCAGGGAACCGCTTTGTGTCCCTGACTCACCAATGGTGCACTGCTCTGCGAGGTCAGTGGTCATCGGCCCGCCCCTTGTGGGACTTGGGCACCTGGCCAGCAGTGGACCTGGGGTTTCTGCTTCTCTCCTCTCATCAGCGGGGGCCCTGGTGGTGCGGGGGCGGGGTAGGGGGGCGGCAAGCATCAGGCTGCTAACTTTAGGGTCAGCGTTTCCAAACCACCAGCTGCTCTTTGGGGAAAAGATGAGGCTGTCTGCTCCGTGAAGAGTTGGCCTTACAAACCCACAGGGCCGTTCCCCTGTGTCCTATAGGACTGCTATGGGTCGGCATCGACTCGATGGCAGTGGGTGGCTGATAGCACGGGTGTCTCGGATCCGACACAGTGTCTGAGAATCCACCCCCCCCACACACACACACCACCACCAAATATGAATCAATCCCCCACTCTCTCCCAAGTCAGAGAAGTCCCATCAAATACAGGTTCCCACCTTCTCTGGAGGAAATCTGCAGGCCCGGGGGCCCTGGCCACAGACTCTGAGTAGGCTCCTGCCACCCTGACCCTGTGCTATGCCCCAGGTCCCCAAGCTGCCGCCGCAGCCCCCCGGAACCTTTTTTGGGTCCCTTTAAGTGATTTGGGCCGGTGGCCAGCAGGGAGCGCTGGTGCTCCACCTCACAGCAGGTTTTACTCATAACCCAGAACACCAGTTCCAGTTTCTATGGAAACGGCCCTTCTTTCCCAGGGGCCTGTGTATTGCTCCCCCCAGCACCTGCCAGGAGTCAGACCCACTATTCCCACGTTGCAGATGAGGAAACAGACGTTTCCCCCACCCCCTGCCCCAGACAAGCGGGAATGCCTGGGGGTCATCCCCACCCAGCGGCCAGGCCTGGTTATGGCTCCAAAGTCCATAGGCCACTATGGATGGTGGGGGAGGGGAGACTGGGCAAGGCCTGGGGAAGAGAGGTAATTAACTGTGGGTGTGGCTCTTGTCCAAGTCCATGGCCAGGGAGGCTCAAGGGCTGGGAGCTGCCCAGGTGACTGGGCTGGGGGGCAGGGGAGGGAAGTGCTGGGCAGGGGTGGAGTGACTACTTAACTGGGGTCTGGGGACTGTTTGGAGAAGGTTTGAGGAGTCAGTACTCCTCCAGGGGGGCGGCTGTGGAGGTGGGGGGGATTGGATTCCACCCTGGTTCCCCAGAGGCTGCCCTGTGACCAGAGAGTCACACCTAAGCCTGACCTCTGTCTCCAGGTCTGCTGCCAGTACTGACCCTCCCCCCACCAGACACAGCCATGAACTCCTTGCGGAAGGAGCCCCTTGGTGGCGGCAGCTCGGAGCCCCTCCCGGTTGCCATCATTGGTAAGTGAGGTGCTGAGGGCTGGGGTGGACTGACCCTCTGCACCAGGAAGCCCACAGGTGTCTGTGGGCAGGAGCCGGGCCAGGCCTGGATTCCCTTCACACCTGGGTCTTTAACCACTGAGCGTATACCAGGTGGCAGTGCCTTGCTTAGCAATTTACAAACCATCATCCCATTTTACCAGCTGGAGAACCCATGGGCAAGAGCAGGAGTCTGGGCCGCGAGGGCCGAGGGCGGGCCTGCTCCTAAGCTCAGAGCACAGTGGCCACAGGTTTCGGAGCTGCAATGTCATATACGTTGCCTGCAAAGAAAGGCAGCTGGGGCGACAGCTGTCCCCATCTTACAGATGAGGAAACCGAGGGTCAGCAAGGAGACACAGCTAGCGCATGGAGGGAGCCAGGGCATGGCGTGGGATCCTCATGCCCCACCCCCACCCCCAGAATAACATCAGCTCCAGTGCGCCTTCTCAGAGCTCATCCACCAAGGGGACACACAGCAAGTAGCCATGGCTCCTGCCCTCTGGGGCATGCAGAAATGGGGCGGGGAGCAGAGCCCTCCCTCTTCCCCTCCCCCCCCATAAGTAGAAGGTGTACCCGCAGGAAATGGCCATGAATGTCTCCCAAAGTGTAGTTCAAATGCATTAGGCTGTCTCAAAGACGGAGTCCAATACAGTGGACGGACAGCCCAGCTGGTGACTAAGAGCTTCTTGTTTCCCTTGGGATGAGCCCGGCAGGCTCAGAACTCTCCCCTTCTTTCTGTTTTGAGCTTCTTCTTGTCCCTTGGGTGAAAGCAGATGAAGCAGATTCATTTTTCTCGAAAGATTCACACCCAGTTTCTTCTTTTGCGGGGCGTCCCCTCCGTGTAACGGCAGGCGCAGGCTGGCCAGTTTGGGAAGGCACCATCCACCGAGGAGCGTGGGTAGTCCACGGTGGCTCATCCGCGTGGCAGTGAATGTGTGGATAATACTCTGGGTTGTGCAAGGGGGCTGGAGAGCCTGTCACGCTGTTAGTCGAAAGCAGGGACCAGGTGGATTTGAGACAGTCTTAAGTTTATTCCTGTAAGTGTTTGTAGATAGAAACCAGCCAGGTGTCTCCTCTGAGTTATTTCAGAGCTCAGTCCTGACCCTCTCAAGTTAATATACAAGAAATGGGTTGTTTTGTTTGTTTACAATGATTACAGGGAGAGATTAGCCAGTCTTTACAATGATCACAGGATACAGTTGATACTCTAGGAATCCAGGATTTGCCGTGATCCTTAGGAAATTCCCGACACCTACATTTCTCCAGGGATCATTTGACCAGAGTCCCATGAACCCTCAGGCAGCCCTGTTTATCTACATTGGGGTGATGTTTTGTGTCTGACTACCTAATGACTTAGTTAGTTAGCCTCCTCCCCAAGGTGGAACAGCTCGGCTGGAGAAGCTTAAATGGAATGTTTACCATATGGGGAGGGGCTATTACATTCTGGATTTTAACAAATGAAATCTAAGTGTGGCTCTATTTCAAGTATTGACTTTCCCTCTCATCAGCACAAGACAAGGGGGGGAAAGGCAGGTAAGACTTGAGATGCTGTAGGAGCTCGGAGCTGATTCATCGCCCAGGAATTGCCACCGACCGGCAGAAGGATGGAGTTGGGGGTGGCCTGCCCCTTAAGTCGCTTAGCACCCCTCCTGAGCCCCTTAGGCCCCCAGGCTCAGACACCCAGACACCTTGCAACTGGAATCTAGTACCTGACTTGTTTTCTGATTGAACCTGAGGGGTCGGGGTAGGGGTCAGTTCTCAGTGATCTCAGACTCCCCACTGCATTCTCAGGTCCCCTCTGTCTGTGTTTGATGCCTCCCAGCTGTGTGACCCTGGGCAAGTTACTCACCCTCTCTGTGGCAGCTTCCCCAAGCGGCAGAGGAGAGAAAGGGTAGCAGTTCTCAGGCTGAAGCAATTAGGGGTAAGCAGGGAGGTGGTGCAGGCCCTTCAGCGTTCCATTGGGCCCTGGGACCCCAGGGCCATCTGACGGCTCGATATTTTTATTTATGAAAGTCACTCACCGCCTATCTAACACCGTTTTCGTTACCTGGATGTTTTCCTTCTGCAAGCGCTTCCAGGAGTTAAACTGAGGCTGTCTCGGATCTACCTGGTCTCTGTTCTCGGCCAAGAGAAAGACAGGCCATCTGGAGCCCATTGCAGCCAGCAGCAGTGTTGAACTGCTGGCCCTGTGGTTCACAGCCCCAAACCTAACCCTCGGTGCCACCAGGGCTCCTTAGCTGCTACTATCAGCACTTGTTGTCATCCACTGCCGCTAGGAAGTGCCCAACCATTCTTCCTGACTGTGTTTGCTGGTGGTGGCAAGCACAGCCACCAGGAAAGGCTAAAAGCGCCCACTCACTGCCATCAAGTCAGGGCTGACTCCTAACTGTTCACTCGAGTGGAAAGCCCAGTCTTTCTCCTGCGGAGCTGCTGATGGTTTCGAACTGCCGACCATGTGCATGGCAGCCCAATGCATACCCGTGATACCTCCAGGGTTCCTGGCATAGGCTAACGCCTCAGTGAATGCCTTTCTGTTAATTCTTACCAGGAGTCAGGCCCACATCCGAGCCCTGGGCAGAGTGATCTGCTTTGCTATACCTGCTACCTGCCTGCCAGCCACTCGACTGACCCCTGCCCTCTCCCCTCAGGCAATGGCCCCTCTGGGATCTGCTTATCCTATCTGCTGTCGGGCAACACCCCCTACGTGAAGTCGCACGCTGTCCACCCACACCCCCTGCTGCAGAGGAAGCTCATGGAGACACCGGGGGTCTCCATCATGGACCAGGTGGGTCTGCCCCCCTTGGGAGACTATCCCAGCTTCCCCAGGGGGTGGGGTGGGCAGGGGTGGGGGGGTGGGAGCAGAGTGCTGGGGAAGGAGAATGCATTTGCAGAAAATAAGACAAACTCACAGAATATGACAGGCCACAGCAGAGTCAGCCAGATAAATTAAATTGTGAGAGAGAAAGTGGGGTCCTCTTGGGACCCTCTCCCACTGCCCCCTCAACGTGTTTCACCACCCTCTGCCCCAGTGTGAAGCCTTGCTGCCCTGCATGCCGGCTGTGTGACCATGGGCAGGTTGCTTAACCCCTTTGTGCCCCAGGGTCCTCCAGTATCAGAAGACAATGGCTGAAGGGGGGTGGGGTGGGACAGGGACCAGTGCTCAGTAAGATAAAGGTCTATGCCCCGGGGACATTCGGCAAGATCTAGGGACAGTTTGGTTGTCACAGATGGGGGTGGGGGGTTAGTACTAACACCTTACGGCAGCCACCTCCCCACCTCCATGAAGACCACCAACAATAGACCAAAGCTCTAGACCAAAGCTGCTCAAACTTTGGTTCTTGACCCCACAGGGGTCATGTAACTAAATGTGAGGGTGGAGGAAAACTCGGTTTCTAAACAGGCAGCACCCACAACCTAATTCACAAAGGAATTTTGTCCCACGAACCCGAGGTCCCAGGCCGCCCTTACCTCCTTCCAACACTGCTCAGCTTTTGGACAGAAAGCCGGGAAATTCCAAGAAGCCTTGCCCTGGCCACCTCAGTCCATGCCCCTTTCCAAGGAGTCCAGGAATGGACTCCCAGGCCCCTTGCCTGCCAGAAGGTCACTTCTGCTCCCCTTTGTCCCCTTCCATGGGCACCCTGCCCCCTCCTACCCCTCCCACCTGGCCTGGGATCCTTGAGCTCCTGAGAGACCCCAAATGAGTACACACATACAGCACCCCACCCCCCCATCCCCGTGTGACTTCTACCCCCTCTGCCCTCTGCCCCTCCCCCTCACTCCCCATCTTCCAGGACCTGGACTACCTGTCTGAAGGCCTGGAGGGCCGCTGCGAGAGCCCTGTGGCCCTGCTCTTTGATGCCCTTTTGCGGCCGGACACAGACTTCGGGGGAGACATGGAATCTGTCCTCACCTGGAAACACGAGAAGGAACGGACTGTCCCCCACGTGGTCCTGGGCCGGAACCTGCCGGGGGGTGCCTGGCATGTGAGTGGGGAACAGGGCAGTGGGGCTGGGCCACATCTATTCGAGCCCCCTCCCTCCACCCCTCTGCCTGCCTGTCCCTTCCCTCCCCTGCCATCTGCTGGTGGGCAGCAGCCGTCTGGAGCCAGGGCTTTCTCTTCCGTGCAGTCTATTGACGGCTCTATGGTGACCCTGAGCCAGGGCCAGTGGATGGGTCTCCCGGACCTGCAGGTCAAGGACTGGATGCGGAAAAAGCGGAGGTAAGTCCCTCCCACCCCGAGCGTGCCCTGGCCTTCTCTCCTCCTGAGTGGGAAGCAGAGGCCCAGGCTGGGCAGAACCAGGGATGGTATGTAGCAGTGTCCATCTGGCTCCAGGACGCCCTGTCCAGTGCTCCGTCCATCCTGCCTCACAATCCCAAACAGCTCAGGTCAGAGGACCCCAGGCCTCCTTACCCTGCCCGCTATTCAGAGCCTGGCCTGGGGTGGGTACCTTCTTTTCCCCTAGCCTGCTGGGAAGAGGACACACTTCTTTTAAGAAGTATGAAATAAAATGCACCCAAACCTTAATAGTGTATGAATGAAAAGTGGAAAACAGGCACTGGGGAGCCCCACACTTACACCCAACCATTTGGGGGCATCTCTCCCTGCCTCCCAGCTCCATAGGACCACTGGGACACCCAGCCCCTGGACAGAAGGCTGCGGGTGTCTCTGCCAATAGGACGGCGAGCCCTGCTCATCCTGGGGCAGACACAGACAGGGCTGGGTAACACGCCGCCAGCAGACCAGGGCTTCGAACAGGGAAATCGGAACAGACCCGGGTTTGTCGAACGTGGCCGATGTGGAACACTCACAGGAATGGGAGATTTGTGGGCCGAGGTCCTGGGGAGGGCGCCTCGGGAGAGGGGTAATATGCCCTTCCAGGAGCCAGATGATGGTCAGGACGGCGCAGAGCAACACCCAGCAAGCCACATTGAAAGTGGCAAGGTGACTGCCCTCTGAGCTGGCCACCGCTGTTTCCTAGGCTGTCAGGCATGAGATTTGGTTGCTAAGCAGCCCACACGCTGCCCTCCCCTTCTCCGAGGGAGGTTAAGTCTCCTACAGGGCCATTTGTCCCGTTCCGCTTATATTCCGGTACACCTGCACTTTATAGCTGCGGTTTGACTGTGATGACCCTGACTGGACCCAGGAAGCGCTGGCCTGTGACAAACAGAGAAGCAGCCATGTCTATTTCCGTCATAGCCATTTCCTTCCCAGCTCCTTGCGCAGTTTCCTGGGTACACCATAAGCATTTCGCACCGTGACTCCAGAAGGCTTGTAGCCATCCTTCTGCCCAGGTGCTGCGTGATCCCCAGGGCAGTCAGGCAGCTCCTCTGCATCACGTGGCCGCCACGTTCTCACCATGCGCTGGGCCGGTGCTCTGGTGTCACCGAGCCCACACACTGCCATTGAGTCGGTTCCGACTCACGTCCACCCTGGAGGACCGAGTGGAACTGTCCAGGGAGCTGCAGGGACTGTAGGTCTCGACGAAGACAACCAAACCACAAGCCAAACTCACTGCCATCCAGTCGATGCCAGCCAACCCGCAGAGACCCTGTAAGAGAGGCCCGAACTGCCTCTGGGAGCTTCCAAGACGGCAACTCTCTACAGGAGGAGAAAGGCCCTGTCTTGCTCCCTTGGAGCGACCGGTGGTTTCAAGTGGCTGGCCTTGCCTTAAGCAGCCCAACCCATAACCACAACACCAGTCCACAGCAATAGCTTCATTCCCAGAGTTCAAGGGCCAGGTGTGGACTGGCAGAGTTTGGGGCCGGGGGGAAGCTGGAGTGGTCTCCGAGCCCCAAGTCTGTGCTGCAGTTGTGGCACCGAGTGGCACATGTGTCCGGCTGTCCCGTACAATCTCCCATTCCAAGGGTTCACCCTTCACCATGTCTCCCGCCGGGTTCAGTAACGCGCCCAAGTCTGCTGGGACCCACACTGGCCCCGCCAGCATGGCCCCTGGAAGGGTGGGTGGCACTAATCAAATGGCCACTGCTGTGGCCTGTGGGCTGGCCACTCGGCTAAGTGGCATCTTTCCTTTAACCCACCAGCCCTACCTAGCACCCTAGAGTCAGTTCTGGCTCACCGAGACCCCATCAGACCAAGCAGGACTGCCCACGCTGGGTTTCCGAGGCTAAAATCTTTCCTGAAGCAGCCGGCCCCATCCCCAGCCCTCCCAGGAGAACGTGGTTTCTTAACTTAGCGCTTAACCCGATGTGCCACCAGGGATCTTTTGTAGAAAAACTGTTACAAGGAGAACGTATGATTGGCACAGGGAAAAAACCACACACTGCACTTATGCACAAGCAGGCAAGTTTTCTCCAGTAGACCCCAATCTCCTTCGGGCCACACCCCCACCTGCTCCCCAGAGGTAGCCCCTCCTGTCCTGCCAGCTTCTGAATGCTGCGGAGGTAGAGCCACGGTCTCCAGGAATGTTCTGGAAACGTTTGAGCAGAACAGCAGTGGCATAGCCTACCAGAGCCCACTTCTAGCACTTGCTCACGGGGCATCAACTCCCGGGATCCTCTCGGTCAGCTCATGACACAAGACTCCCACGCCGCCGTCACCGTAACTGTACCAGTGAGGAAACAGTCACGGAGTGTCTCAGACCACACAGCTAACCCCCAGCCCAGCCAGGATTTGTGCCCGGGCATCGGGCTCTGGAAGAACCCTAGTGGGGCGGGTGGGGGGGGGGGTCCATGTTAGAGCTGCTCTATTGCAAGATCAGAGGTTCAGACCCACCAGCCGCTGAGCAGCAGGAGGAGGCAGGCTGCTCTCGTAGAGATGCACAGCCTCCGAGGCGCTGAGGGGCAAGCCTGCTGTGGCCTCCAGGGTCCATAAGGTCAGAATGGTCTCCAAGACAGGCAGTGGATGGGACTGATCCGAGCTTTGCACCCCGCCCTCCGCTGCCACTCCTGAGGCAGAAGAGCAGATGAAGGCCTTCCAGAGCTTCAACCTTCCCCAGCCCCAAGGTCAGCCCACCTGGGCATCTTCACCCAGCCTGTCCCCTCTACCCCTGACAGCTCTCTGACCACCCCACCCACCATACTTTTCAGAGGGCTCCGAAACAGCCGGGCCACAGCAGGGGACATCGCCCACTACTACAGAGACTACGTGACCAAGAAGGGGTTGGAGCACAACTTCGTGTCTGGCGCTGTGGTCACGGCCGTGAAGTGGGAGGGACTGGAGCCCCAGGACTCTGGGGCCCAAGACTCCCGGCCCCTCTTCCAGGTGAGCGGCTTCCTGCAGAACGCCCAGGACCCAAGCCCACAGCCTTTCATCCTGCGCGCCCGCAACCTGGTGCTGGCCACCGGCACGTATGACAGCCCGGCCCGCCTGGGCGTCCCCGGGGAGAGCCTGCCCTTCGTCCACCACGAGCTGGCGGCCCTGGAGGCGGCCATGCGAGCGGGCACAGTGACCCCAGCCTCGGAACCCGTCCTCATCGTGGGCGCGGGGCTGTCTGCGGCCGATGCGGTACTGTATGCCCGCCACTGCAACGTGCCCGTGATCCATGCCTTCCGGCGTTCCGTGGATGACCCCGGCCTGGTGTTCAACCAGCTGCCCAAGATGCTGTACCCCGAGTACCACAAGGTGCACCAGATGATGCGGGACCAGTCCTTCCTGTCCCCTGGGCCCTACGAGGGCTACCTCAGCCTTCCCCAGCACCAGCTGCTCCTGCTCAAGGAGGATTGTCAGGCCGTCTTCCGAGACCCCAGGGGTGGCCAGAAGGCCTTCGGCGTGTCCCTGGTGCTGGTCCTCATTGGCTCCTACCCGGACCTCTCCTTCCTTCCTGGGGGAGGCGCCCTCCTCACCATGGATCCCAGCCAGCCGCTCAGCGCCAAGAGGAACCCCATCCACGTGGACCCCTTCACCTACCAGAGCACCCACCAGGAGGGGCTGTACGCTCTAGGGCCATTGGCCGGGGACAACTTTGTGCGGTTTGTGCAGGGTGGCGCGCTGGCTGCAGCCAGCTCCCTGCTGCGGAAGGAGACCCGGAAGCCACCCTAACGCTGGACAGGGGGCGCATCCTCAGCCCTGAGGGGGACCAGAGATCCACACAGCCCTGCAAAGCCAACCTCCCACTAATGGGGGCCTCTCCTGGCAGGAGCCAAGCAGCCAGCCTCTGGGGAAGAAGAGGGGCTCCAGCCGCAGCTCAGCGCCCCACCCCCACCCCACCCCTCCACTGACTCAGATGGAAGACAAGGAGCCAGCAGGGACTGCAGCAGCACCGTGGGGCTGGGGGTGGGGCAAGCTGTCAGCGCCCACAGCGGGTGGGGGTGGGTCTTCAGGTGAGCACTCATCTGTAAGGCCTCAGCCCAAATAAAGACCGCACCGGCCTCCACCTGTGTCCCAGGGGTCTGTGTCCGTGGAAGAATCTGGGTGGCTGGAGGGAGCCTGGACTTGGAGCTGGCAGCTCATGGACTAGGATGGGGACCTTGAAAATTAAGCCGGGAGAGGGGGGCAGATGGGTGGGGCAGCCATGGTAGAGTGTGTGTGTAGGGGCGGGGCGGTGTGCTCTGTAGCCCCAGCCCTCCTTCCCTACCCTTCCATTCTCCAATGAAAACCACAGGTTTCCTGGCAGCCCCCACCTTTATGAAAATGATGCCGGGAGGGAGGGGGTGCAGGTGGGTGGGGGTGGCCATGGTAGAGTAGTGAGGGGGGAGTGTCCTCTGTAGCCCTGGCCCTCCTTCCCCACCCCTCCATTCTCCAATGAAAACCACAGGTCTCCTGGCAGCCCCTTGCCCTGCCACAGGCCATTTGCGTAGCCTCCCCCGCCCCCTCCCTCTAACTCCTCTTCCTCCTAATGGTCATTCCCTGGGGGGACGTAAGGAGCCTCATATGGTGCCCCTGAACCCCTCCCGAGGGCACCCCAGGCGTCCCTGCTGGCTTATTTGCCTGTTGGTTGAGGTGTGGTTCTGCAACCCGGTGGGGGTCCGCTCTCGAGGCCTCGGGGGTCTGTTGTTCGCGGCTCGGGATCCTGCTGCTTGGGCCTGGCGCCCAGCGCGGCCGTGCAGGGTCCCCGGCGGGCGGGCCGGGCCCTGGGCC